TCAACACACACTCTGGCAACCACCAAGAATACCCTAGAAACTGCATAGCAACACCTTGGCAACCACACAGAATACCCTGGAAACTGCATATCAACACACACCCTGGCAACCACCAAGAATACCCTAGAAACTGCATAGCAACACCTTGGCAACCACCCAGAATACCCTGGAAACTGCATATCAACACACACCCTGGCAACCACCAAGAATACCCTAGAAACTGCATAGCAACACCCTGGCAACCACCTAGAATATCGTAGAAACTGCATATCAACATGGTAAAATTACAAATTGTTCATATTCCTGTACTGAAAATATGATTTTTAAAAAATCTGGGTGAGGGACAAATGAAATATAGCCTACTAACTCTAGCAAAAACAAACCTTTCTACACTTAAAAATGAGGGAGACATAATAAAGAGACATACAAATTTAAAACTATTACTAAAAACACCGGAAACGAAGACAGAAAAGTTCCCCTAATTGACAAATATCAAATCATATACAGTATGCTGATACCAGGATCAAAACTAGCAATGCAACATAATGACAAAAATAATCACGGCACAGAATATTCTGAATCTTCTAGAGGGAGAGGTTTAAAACCTCCTGAGGTTTCTGGATTAGATTACAAAGAGACGCTTCAGTAAGACTGATATCAGAACAGATCTGTCCATCAAAACACTTTGACGAACTGACCGTGGTCAGCATGAGCAGGGAATCCTGGGTAACGGCCTGAAGAGCTTCATTATAATCAATGAGTGGCCAGTGCCGGAGGGAGTGACTTGTGTCTAATCAGGGGTCAGTGGTTCAGTCTGACTCCCCTCTGATTCCCACAGAATAAGTTAAGCCTTGATCAGCTTCACTGACTAGTCCCTTGAGCTCTTGCTCTGTAGTACTGGTGAGAAGCTGCCCTTTAGCCCTGACTTAAGATCAGCCTGAGGAGATCTTTCTGAACACTCAAGGTATAGATTTATCAAGGCCTCTTAATACGTTTTTTTCCCACATCGACCTTCTCTCTCTTACTCTGTTCTTATCAAATGAACCCTCTGCGGGATGCTGAAATGTCAGGGTCAAAGTTCAAAACAATGCAAAATGTATAGCGTGAGTGTTCACTAACACGGCAGTATTAAGATCAGACGTCACGAGAAACACTGACAAAACCAAAACAGGTTAACCTGCTGGCATCCATGTTTCTTTTTTACAGACACCCAGAATACCCTGAAAACTGTGTAATTACACGGTAAAAAATGTAAAAACAAACATTTAATTACACAAAACACCTTTGCACTCCACATAGTAACACCCTGGCAACCACCCAGAACACCCTAGAAACCGCAGAGGAACATTGTAAGCGCCGCATTAAATACCTTAGCAACTCCCTACCAACCAAAGTACTTTCATTTTAGACATAACCAACTGAGTCTATACATAAACCTTGTGTGTTTTGACAGTATCCGTGCAAAATATAACTTAGTCCAGTAATCAGGCGCTGTTTGACAGGCTTTTTAGTGCGAGCGCTTCGGGGGTACGTGCTGAGATAAAGCGCATGTCAGAACAGTGCGTGAATAAAACATTTAACTGGCAAGGCTTTAAAGCACATGCAAATAATGTACTTGTGACTGCGAGTAAGTGCAGTGTCCCGTGAGTGTAACTCTACCGCAGAGTTAACACTGAAGTGAATGCATGTGGCGTTGTACAGTATATATTGAGCCGGAGGCGCCAGAACTGGCGCTGTTGCACGATATTTCTTCAAAAGCAGATCGTGGAGACATTTTTATCGTCCATGAACAAAAATCATCATATCGCACACCCCTACCCTAAAAACTGCATAGCAACATTGTAAAAAGTAGGATACACATAAAACACCTTATATAGCAACACCCTGGTAACCACCTACAACACCCTAGAATCATGGTAGTGAATTTTACAGGCACTTAAAGAATGTACAAATCTATTTTGAAGAAGAAAAAACGAGGACACTGCAGAACAACATGTGGCGTTGTACAGTATATATTGAGCCGGAGGCGCCAGAACTGGCGCTGTTGCACGATATTTCTTCAAAAGCAGATCGTGGAGACATTTTTATCGTCCATGAACAAAAATCATCATATCGCACACCCCTACCCTAAAAACTGCATAGCAACATTGTAAAAAGTAGGATACACATAAAACACCTTAGCAACACCCTGGTAACCACCTACAACGCCCTAGAATCATGGTAGTGAATTTTACAGGCACTTAAAGAATGTACAAATCTATTTTGAAGAAGAAAAAACGAGGACACTGCAGAACAAAATACCGCAAAGTAAAAAGAAAAACCACACAAAAAAAAGCAACACCCTGCAAAATCCTTAGCAACACCCTGGAAACCACCCAGAATACACTCGAAGCTGCATAGCAACGTGATAGAACATAACAGACACACAAAGCAGCTAAGAAACTGCATAGCAAATACTCAACACAACCAAATACAGAAAAGCTCTGCAAATACACACAGACCTCATCGGACGTGTTTAAGGGAACCAATAACAAGTGACAAACCTGGCTGGGATATGCTTATCAGTGTGTGCTCAGAAAGGTGAGCTTTTTGTTTATTCCTGATCACAGCCATATGATTCCTTAGCTTTTTTCAACATCCTGCAATCATGATGGGGAATTCTGCACAGGCAGACAATGGCACTCATATGTTCAGAAAATACACAAATTCTATTCCTTCAAGCCTATTTTTCTAAAGCTCACTGCTGCCCTCTATACACAGGTGGAGAAACTGCATCAAAGTTCATCAAAACTATTCAATTAAAATAAGCACATTTACACACAGCACATTTACCGTGGTATTCTAGTGACTGATGGCTGTTTCTTTTTACTATAAGCCGTCCAAAAGCATCCACAAATCCATCCCAGGTGTTCAACTTGGACAGGAAATGACATCACAGATGCACCTGGAGCCCGTCTCAGTCTAACACGCCATCAGCGCGCTTTCTTTCACACTACTTACATGATTAATCCAGTTACTTTTCAGCACAGATGCGCTCGTGTAATTATTTGTTTAAAGATATAAACGAGCCGAAAGCCCCTGGAGTGGTGTGTACATTAAAACTACATAACACACAGCGACAGATGTGTATTAAACATCCTCTAATGCGCTAAAGCCAGGTGTCTTGAGTAAATGTGCCACTGCGGATGTCTCCGTGTTAAAGCAAACACTCCAGCTTGTGTACGCCTGAATCATACGTGACACAAAGCAGGTCACGATTCAGGGTGCATTCTGTTTTCTGGGTTCTTCTGCAGGATTTCTCAATGAAACCGGTATCCAGTCTGAAGACTACAGAGAGAATATCCTCCATGCATAACCCTGTGTGCATCTGTCAGAGAGAAGAAGAGGAGAATCTCATGCACTCAAGCTGGGTTCAAATCAAAACAAAGACTTTCGGCACGACAACAACCTTTCAAGAACATCTTCACTCTTTAAAAGTAAAGGTTCTTCAATGCTTCAGGAGCCTGAAAGCACAATGAATGAATAATCAAAAAGCACGAATACTCTTTCCAAGCAAATGACTATAACACTGTCTCGTACAAATTAATCTGAACGATTCATTAAATGCATGCAACTCACTTTAAATCCAAAAGTGTAAGAGCATTTGTTAAAATGACTTTGCACTGGTTTATTGCAATATTTTTCATTTCAAATTATATTACAGGCATATTTATTATCAGAGCATCAATTTGCACTGGAACTGTTATAAACAAGCCCTGTACTTAATACTAATACTGTAAAGCTGCTTTGATGCAATCTGTATTGTAAAAAGCGCTATATAAATAACGGTGCAAAACAATACTACTACTTCAATTTACACCTTAATGTTTCTGTTATTCAAAATTATTCAAAAAATCCTAAAATTAAAGGTATAAATGGAAATAAACCCGATTTCTCTCAGGCTCTCAAACCCCACTGAACCAGTAATTGCACATTTCTGTACATCAGTTTTCTCATTTTGAAAGACTTAAACCAGGAAACGCTGGTAAACATTTGCGCCACCTAGCGGTGCAGTAGGCTATATACACTGCAACGGTTTAATTCTATTAAATTCAATGATTTATAAATCATATAGAAATGGAAAAAAACCTGAGAAAATAAATAATAATAACAACAATAGGCTAATAATAATTGGCTAATAATAATAATAATAGGCTAATAATAACAATGGGCTAATAATAATTGGCTAATAATAACAATGGGCTAATAATAACAATGGGCTAATAATAATTGGCTAATAATAACAATGGGCTAATAATAATAATGGGCTAATAATAATGGGCTAATAATAACAATGGGCTAATAATAACAATGGGCTAATAATAACAATGGGCTAATAATAACAATAAAATATTTAAAAGTAAAATGAAAACTAAGAACTAATAATCATCTGATATAATACAGTCTCGTTGTAAGGGAGCACGGCGGCCAGGAACATAAACATGTATCTCATCCTTTAGATGAGTTCAACTTTGTCTTCGCAATATATCCAAAGGCCACCGGCACGAGGACACACCTGTAAACTCCTCTCAAATCCACACATATTTCGAGTTACGGACATTAAATAAAAGAGACTTATAACTTTTTGATGGGCAGACATTCTGAACACAAAATCTACATGCATTTACTTATATTTTTATTTTTACAACAAGCGTCATGTACCCGCCCTTAAACGTCACCGATATAGCGAACGCTGATTGGTCACGTCGCTTGTCAATCATTACTGTGAGCACGATCGAATTAATTAATTATAATAATGACTCACAGCATAAAATAAAGACATACGTGTATTAAGGTGAAGAAAAGGAAAAGAAAAATATTGGTGAGAAATAAAATCAGCACGAAACTGATTCGTGCGTTGTCACGTGACACCTGTTACTTTTCTCAGCGCGGGTCGGGCTGAACCAATCACAGTCGCCTGCTAGACACCGCGTTCAGCGCACCAACTTCCCACGACTTGTAGCCGATTGTATTGTATCTCTACAGCAAAAACGTCCTTTTTAAATGTATACAACTGACTTTGACGCCTGGTGCTTGCGTAGACATCCCTATATTAGCTGTAAACCCGTTTAGTTTCCGTTTAAAGCGGAAGTTGTAGGAAGGGGAAATGACAACAGAGCAAGGAAGTTCCCCGATCTGTGGATGAGAGAGAGCCTCGGGAGATCTGAGCGTGATTTGCGAAGATAGACGCTGATAACGGATCATGTGCGACGTGCCGCGGGACACCCCGGTCCGGAAGCTCCGGTTCTCGGCGCTGAGAGCCCTGTCGGACCTGCTGGACCCGCAGCACGCCTGGAGGAGCGTCGCGACGGACATCCGCGGAGCCTCCGGACAGCCGCGCTACTCGCAGCAGCACATCCGGTGATGCGCGAGAGAAACATACATTACAATATGTATATATATAATATACAATATTTGCAATAAATTATATATAAAATATATACTTTTATATACACTAAAAAATATTTTATTTTATTGTATTTTTAAAATATTTATTTACATTTTAGTTGTAGCAATTTTAGTACTTAAATTTGAAAATGTAATGTATTTATTTTGTTGCGCGGTTGCTAGGGTGTTCTGCACGGTTGCTAGGGTGTTCTGCGCTGTTGCTAGGGTGTTCTGCGCTGTTGCTAGTGTGTTCTGCGCGGTTGCTAGGGTTCTCTGCGCGGTTGTTAGGGTGTTCTGCGCGGTTGCTAGGGTGTTCTGCTCGGTTGTTAGGGTGGTTAGGGGTTCTGCGCGGTTGCTAGGGTGTTCTGCGCTGTTGCTAGTGTGTTCTGCGCGGTTGCTAGGGTTCTCTGCGCGGTTGTTAGGGTGTTCTGCGCGGTTGCTAGGGTGTTCTGCTCGGTTGTTAGGGTGGTTAGGGGTTCTGCGCGGTTGCTAGGGTGTTCTGCGCTGTTGCTAGTGTGTTCTGCGCGGTTGCTAGGGTTCTCTGCGCGGTTGTTAGGGTGTTCTGCGCGGTTGCTAGGGTGTTCTGCTCGGTTGTTAGGGTGGTTAGGGGTTTTGGGCGGGTGCTTGGGGGGTCTGGGCGGTTC